TATTTTGTTTATAAAAATCACAATAAAAAATTTTAAAATAAAACTTTTAATTTTATATATAATTTACATGAAAAAACTTTCTATTACAATTCTATACGGACCCTAATAAAAACCACCTCTCCTCGTTGGTCGTTAGTTGATTATTGGGTTGGGTTTCTTTTTTCTGTGCATTAATGGGTCTAGCCTGGGCTTTCCATCCATTTTAATGCCGGAAGTAAAATGATAAATAATTAAGGATACTCAGGGAGTAGACCTCTCAAACGGGTAAGTTGAGTTGGATTCAGTTTGTGTCAATTTGCGTGACAGATTATACGGATTGGGTCATAAATGGGTTACAGAATTGAAAATGTCTAATCCTAACATAACCCTAACAGGTTACAGGTTAATCTGTCAATTGATTTTATTTTTATTTTTTATAATTATTTTTTTATTAATTTTATTATATACAAATAAAATTATATATATCTAAATCTAATTAAAGTATTATGATTCATTAAAACTAAATACTTTATAGTTTCAACAACAAACAATTAAATTAAAAAAAAAATCATAAAGTTATAAATAATAATAAGTTGATTAACAATAACAATATTAAACGTAAAATATTTAAATTTCTTGAAAAATAAAGTTTTAATTCTATAATCATCTTGAAACATTATTAAATAGTTTAAGCTATTTTTTAATAATAAATTGCTCTTCCAAAAACATCTTTTATTTAGTTATTATGTTATATCCTAACATCACATCTTTTAATATTTTTAGTTGTATTATCATTTCATTCATGATATTTAAGTAATTGTTAATACCAAAAAAAAAATATTTGGATAATTAGATCAAACTTATCATAATTTTTTTATCTTTCTCTATAAATTAGGGAGTATGAATTAATGGAAAGAGTTATCAATAAAAAAATTAATTAAGAATAATATGTATAATATTTAAAAATAATATTAAAAAATAAAACAAACAGATCAACCAGTCAACTCATAAGTTGATCCTCACCACCACCTGACCCGTACAGATTAATAATATGAGTTATACATGAGTTATAGGTTGAGATATGTAAGCTCTAACATGTTTTTACGGGTCGAGTTAGAATCGAATTGACAAATCATATAGGTTTTTGCCAGGCCTACCAAGGAGCGGTTAATGCCACAACACAAACGTTTATGTTACTGCCAGGAAATTCAAACCTCCTTTCATCTCTTCTTATCGTCTAAGTTTGATTTTTCAGAAAGTTAATAAAAATATAATTTTTAATAAATTTTTTAATTTTAATGTGTATGATTTGCCTTTCACTATTATACTAATGAAAAGTTAGTTTCTTGATCGGCAAAAGCTGGCCGGACATATCCACATCCACATCCACATCCAAATCCAAATCTAAAATCCGTCAATTCCCTTCCTTCTCCCAATTCGACACATTGATTGGCCCCTAATTTCAATTTGGGAAGCTAAAAGAGTCAGAAAGAACTCGCCGCCATCAATAGAGCTCAAAGATAGCGAAAAGGTGAGGCCCAAAACGTGACGAGAAGTCAAGGGTGTGATAGGATTCTGATGAGTGGAGTAATCTACAATATCTACTACTGCCTGATTAACATTTAACAATAACCACCATAGTCCATAGCCCTGTTGGCTTTGTTGGTTTTGCGGCTTTTACAGCCTCCCAAGTCCAGCCAAAGCAAAAATGTGAAACATTATATATTCGCAGAGACAAAACGTTTCTTGCCTCTGAGAGTTACCGTGAACGAGTGAGGAATGGAAAGAAGAGAATTGGATGACCTGGTAAAAAGGCAAGTAAGGGTGAAGAAATGGAAGGGTAAAGTAGCCCTGTTGATATGAAAGGAGGTTTGGTTTTAGTGTTAGTAACAAAAATGTCTGTGGGGATTAACAGCTCTTGGATACTTAAAGTTTTATAATGAGTTTGGATTCGGGAGATTTGAAGAAGAACAGAAGGGAAAATGTCTCATTCCTTTTATTTGGATTATTTTCGTTACTCCGCTTTTTAATTTGATCTTTAAATTGGGAGGGGCTTGAGACAAATTTGGTTTGTGAATTTATTTTTTATTTTTAAATAAATAAATAAATTTTATTTTAAATAATAAAATTCATAATTATTTTATTTTATTTTTTAAAATTATTTAATTAAATAACAATATTATAATTATTGTTCTTCTCCATCGCTATTTATCTTTTTTTTTTTTTTTTTTTAATCAGGTACATGGTTAAAAAGTTAGTAGAGTTAATTTGTTATCAGCTGAAATTTTTCTAGGAAAGTGGACGTTCCACCCCTCATTTAAGGCGCGCGACCATTAAGTCGCAAGTTGGTGGAGTTTACGGCGGTGGTAAAACTTGAAGTCCAACCAATTGTTTCAGAGGCCGGTTGGCCACTTCTATTTATCTTAAACATTATTAATACCATTTCCACATTTTCCTTCATTTCTCGCCGTCCTTTAATAATTTTTGTCGAAATAGATCGTTAACTCTTGTGCACAATTTAGGAGTCCTAGACTACCGACCTAGCCCTAGTTGCCTAGACTAGGGCAGCGCATTGGCGGCTAGAGTAGCCTACCGGTGATTTTTGCAGTTGCTAGAAATTTATGGTAATGATTTTTATTACGAGTGATTTTTATGTTAATAATGTAATTATTATATTTTTTAATAAATTTATATAAAAAATTATAAAATAAATTTTTTAAAATTTATTTTTATTAATACATATAAATAATTTTAATTAGATAATTTATAAAATTAAAATTAATTTTTATTTTTATATACATTGATAAAAAAAATTATAATAAATACATCTCTTAACTTTTACAACAAATTAAAAAACTTTATTGTTAATACCATGTTAAGGATAATTAGTTACATGTCAAAATCTTTTAGCCATAAAATCCTTTAATTGTTGATGAAAAAATTAATATATATCTGTTAAATATATCTGATACAATTTTAATTCATAAATTTAAAGTGTTATATGTATAACTTTTAGGGGGAAAAATTTTCAATTTGCAGTTCAAATATTTCATGTAAAACAGCCAATAGGTCAATACCTTAAATGAATGATTTTAGGCTTAGGGTTTTTACCTTAAAAATGTATATGCACACCTTTAAATTTAATTAACTTAAAAGAAAAAAAAAATTGTGACAGCCACGATAGCCATGGTGACGGACCTTTCTCATTATTATTATGATAAGATAAAATAATAATTATTAATTGATGCTAGGGATTATTCTGCCTACCAATCTATCAAGAATCATGATATATATATATATATATTAGATTTGTTTAATTTAATTTTAGAACACATATTAAAGTAAAATAAATGTATTTTGTATTATTAATTTATATAAAAAATAATAAAAATTAATGTTTATTTTAATATTATTATCACGTAAATAAAATTAACTAATTAATTAAATTTGTATTAATTTTTATTATTTTATATGTGTATTAATTATAAAAAATATATTTATTAAAATTTTATTTTGTGTTCTAAAAATACAAAATAAAAAAATTTCATATAAATTTTATTTTACACAACAAGAGTGAAATTTTATTAGTAGGAGTATACAAAAGATTGCTCAACCTGCCGAATATGAGTTTTAAGCGCCAACTAGTACACCAAACCTATCTTTTTGGCATCGATTTCTTACACAAACTAGAAGATCATTGCACCACTCCTCGAAAGATATCTCAATACATACACGTTTTCCTTTAACCCAGTGATCCGACCTTAATTGCACAAGATGAAATGGCGCCTTCACATAATCACATCCGCCTCTTTATTGTTGAAAACTCTACCGTTCCTTGCCACAACTATGAATCATGATATTGACCTGCTGCGTAACATGACAGTGAGGCAAATGTTGAGTGAACAGCATGGCAGTATCCACATCAGACCTCATTAATCAGTTGTAAAGTATATTTAATATTTTAATAATATCTAAAGTTCAAGAATGATACTATTATGTTATTTTCCATATCCCTCCATCTCTCTTATCTTTAAATTGTACCTGTCTCCCCACCCCCCCACCGACGGGCCACCCAACCAACCAACCCAAAAAAAGGGACAGTTGCCAAATTACCTCTAGTCTAGACTAGCTTTTTCTGTCAACCCTAAATGAAAAAAAAAAAATCCAAATAAGAGAAAACATTCATGTTAACTATATATTTATAATAATATGTAGTATTGTAAATGAATAAAAATTTATTTATATATAAATTTTATATATAATATTTATATGAGATTTTAATTATTTATTTTTTTATTTTTTAATAATTAAAATTTATTTATATTTATTAATAATTATTATTTTTTAATTAAAAAATTATAATAAATCTCACTCGTTAAAAATAAAAAAATAAATAATTGAGATTTTATATAGATATAATATGTAAAATTTGTGTACAAATTAATCCTTCTTTATTGTAAATTTATACCTATAATGTGCCATTGTATGATTAATTTTTTTATTTTAAAAATATCTTTATGATATTATATATATTTATTAATTTAATAATACATTATAATTATAAAATTTATAATTTTATATTAATATTATAACTATGTTATTAAATGTCATTAAAATCCTAAAGGAATCATAGTTTGGTTAATTTTTTTTTAGAAAAAAAAAAAAGCAATGGAAAATTTGGAGATGAGGAAAAACAAAGAAAAAAAAAAAGGAGCTGAATTCATTTTAGGTGGAACATCTAACATAATTATTAACCATAGAAAATTGAACAGGGCAGTTTAAAGACGTGCCAGGTGTTTGGTTTCCTTTAAATGTCCTACAATGCTGGTTAGAGTTGGAGTGTATCTATCCAGAGTAGTTTATATCTATCATGACTATTGTTGTAGTAAATGGCTTGACATTTTGGGCTTTTTTTTTTTTTTAATATCAGCAAAACCAACTAAAAAATATATTATTAAAAGAGTATAAGGAATACTCCAAAGTAAAATACAACTCTAACACCAAAGCTCAAATACAGTCATGTTACAAGCTCATAACGAAAACAATTATTACGCATTGTAACTCTAGGGAAAAAAGAAGAAATAAAGTCGACACAAAGCCTTAGTTTGCAACTTGTAGCTCCTCAAATTTTTGCAATGTTGAACGATAGCTTCTCTACATTCTATAAGCTTTAATACCCAATCTTGATAAGTGAACACAAAATCTGTCTCTTTATTTTTTAACCATAAAAAGGATTTATTTTGAATTGATTCCAACAACATCACCTTAGATCTCAAATTTGTCCCAAACATCTTCATATTCCTCCAGTGAAACCAAGCAACAACTAAAAAGATGAAAGCTCCTAAATATTTCACATGTCCCCCACCTATACCATGCACCACAAATTCTGCCATCCCAAAAATGTCATTTGGCAAAACACCCTTCCAACCCTACCAACTCAAAACCTGCATCCACACTAACCATATCCCCTTACACTCACAAAAAATATGATGAAGTTGCTCCTCCCCCTCATTACAAAACCCACAACCAACATTCCCCTCCAACCAAACCCCTCTCTTGCATAAATTCTCCTTTGTTGCCAACCTATTCCAAAATAATCTCCACCCAAATACATTTAATTTAGAGGGAGTATACTTACACCAAATAATCCTAGTTCATTTCTTATCAAGAATACAATCTAAAGATGTTAAGAAAGCATATGCAGCTTTCACAGAATATAAACCATCACTACTATGAATCCATCTCCAAGAATCAACTCTATTAGTCCTCAACTTTGCCCCATTAATCAATTCCCTAAACTTTTCCTCCTCATTGCCTATCCTCCCCACACAACAATGTCTCCATCTGCACTCCCATATCCAATTATCCCCACTTCAAAAACCCATATTATTCACCAACCCCTCTCTTTTCGTTGCTAACACAAACAACATGCAAAATAAATTTTTTATAGATTTATCTCTCACCCACTTATAAGATTTTGGTTGACCCACTATAACATGAAATTAATGGAACAATAAAACAAGGCATTGGTTATTGTCATATAATTTTATTGATATTTTATTAATTTATTACTTTTTTAAAAATATATAATTATGATATCTAAAAATATTTATATGTAAAATAATTTTAATATGTTAAATAATAAATATCATTTATTTTACTAATTTTTAATTATTTTTAACAATCAAATTGATAAAATATTAATTAAAATTGTGTGGACTAACTACAGCCATATAAAATAAACCACCACAAGAAAAATAATATTGAATTTATGTGATTAAACTCTATTTAATTGAGTGTACATTCAGCATTCGTATGGAAAAATTTTTCATTAAATTGAAAGATATGATTCCTGATACTTATCAAAACCTAATCTTTAAGTATACCCAAATCTCATTTTCAGTATTTTTAAATGCAAGACATACTTAAAATCACTAAAAAGAATGTTATAAACATTCTACTTACTTACCCTCACCTGAAGCACTCTCAGTACTCCTTGTTTTCCCTCACGAGGCACTCAAATGGTTTGCTTTTTCATGAATTACCGAATGTCCAAAGGCTTTTGCAGCCAAAATATGCACAGCGTAAATTTAATGAGCATATAGACGGCAAAGTAAAGAGCCAAGGCTTCCAACACCTCCAAGTTTTATGACAAAATATACAGCAAGTAATTTCCATTTTGTCAATCAATTTTTTAGATAATAATTTCACGATGACATAAGTCACCGAAAGGACACCCAAATCTCAATAATATTATTTTCAAATGGGAGCAATATTTAGGTTTAGTTTAAGAGTACTGACATGTAATCGTAAGTATTAATCTTTTGGTATTTTAATATTTTAAAAATATATGAAATAAATTTAATATTTATTTTAATTAAAATTATATTTTTTTTAAATAATAAAAAAATAAAAATAAAAATATAAAGCATCGAGAATCATTGTCATGCTAAACTTTAAAACTATTTTGTAAATACTTTAAGCATTCTTCTCACGTACCCTCACCAACTCAATCTCAACACTACTTTTTTTTTCTCACAAAGCACTCCAATGGCTTGCCTTTCCATGGATTGCCGATGTCCGAAGGCTTTTATATCCAAAATACGCAAGGCTTCCAACTTTCCAACACCTCAATTGTTTTATGGAAAAAATTACAGCAAGTAATTTTCATCGGCAAAACTCATTATTAAGCCTCAAAAAATTTTCCCATATTTTCATTAATGCTCTTGAACCATTTTTTGAGCGTATGACTATTGAGTACCTAAATCTCATTTTGTCAAAGAACTTCGGCCCCCACGGGGCCGCGCCTGGCAAGTGGCAACCATCATTTCACAACAGTGTAATTTTGCAAGTTTGTTGGCCATTTTCAATCAATTAAATGGGGGAGTGGAGGGCCCACTTGCAACACAATTATTTTTTTTGGACCTTCAGCCTTTCAGGATAACGACAGTCACGGCTGACGACACTTGCTTAAATTGACACTCTGGCACTATCTGTAAATGAGGATTTTTGGATGATATTGGTCCTACGAAACAACTTATCAAACAAAAGATCAGATCCTTATCCATCCGGCCCCCCGTATCTCTTCCATAAACACACCAGAAGAGCCCAGAAGCTAGCACACCAGTTTTCAATTAAACATTTACATATATTATCAAAAATGTCCAAATCATCGTCATCACCAGTTTTTTCCGTGAAACGTCAGGGACCGGAGCTAGTCACTCCCGCAAAACCAACACCACGAGAGTCAATATATGTGTCAGATATCGATGGCCAGCAAAGTCTCCTTTTTCAGATTCCCTTCATTATGTTTTACCCCGCCCGTAATCCTCCCATGAAAGGGAAAGACCCTGTCATGGTTATCAAAGATGCACTGAGCAAAGCTCTTGTGTGTTACTATCCCTTCGCCGGTAGGATCAGAGAAGGGCCGAACCAAAAACTCTTTGTCGATTGCACTGGCGAAGGAGTCCTGTTCATAGAAGCCGATGCTGATATCACACTCGACCAGCTGGGCCACGCTATTCTACCGCCATTCCCATGCATCGAGGAACTGCTATTTGATGTCTCTGGTTCTTCCAACATTGTTGGGTGCCCTTTGTTATTGATCCAGGTATAACTGACCCCATGTTTACACATGCACGTACGCATAATATATACACATGCACCTGTGACATTGATTTTTAGTTCGTTGGATCTGTACGGTAAGTAAATGTGATTTTATAAGTAGGATTTTAAGAAATTAATTTTTTTTAAATATATTATATTATTTTGTAAATGCACCCTTAATATCTCTTAAAAAGAAATGAATTTTAAAATATATAAAAATTTACTTAACAAAACAGTAATAGTAAATACCAAATATATATACACATGCATACACGCACAAAGTTTGTACATACATATAGCTGAACCCGTCTCTTTGAAAACTTAAGGACGTGTTTGGTTGGAAATAATTAATAGTTTCTTTCATCCATCATCTAGGTAATTTTAAGGTTTTTTTTAGCGTTTACACACACTAATACTATAACAAATTAATATATTAAATATAATGTTTTCACTTTTAGTCTATTTCTAATTTCTTGACTTAATTTTTGAAAAGTTATAGTATTAATTTTTCACATTTTTTATAAAGAAAAAGTTTCTTATAACTCTTTTTACTGTGGTTGGGTAAAAAAATACGTTTTTAATGTGTCTCTAAATGATCAACTTCTTATCCAGCATTAAAAAGGTAACAAAACTTGACTGTGCAGTTGTCGGTGATTACTTAAATGAACAATAATTGATATGTCTTTCAATTTAACATATCTTTTAGTAATATTTATTGGTTTAGTTATTAAAATTTAAATTAAAAGTTTTCTTGTTTTATATAAATTTTTTAAATGAACAGGGGCATCCTCGTACTCCAATTATAATAAAATTTTTTATTTTGCTAATAAAAAATTTTTTCTCACCTTCAATTTAAATTTAAAAACAATAATTTTTAATAAGTGTATTATAATATTTATTGAAGTCGATGGGTTCACACTAAAAAATAGAAGAAATCGATGGTAAGGAATTAAGTACTTTATTGACCAAGAATGAAAAGAGCTTACAATGGAGAGAAAATGAATAAAAATAATTTCCTTCTTAGATCTAACATTAAGGTATTTATAAAATATTATATAGAATCACTTTAGGATATTACAATTTTACGTGGGTTGGTATTAGGTAGTCTAGTTTTAGTGGGATTTACCCTATCTAATATTGATATAACTCTTTTAGAATACCTCCACGTATCCTAATTTTCATATAATTCAATTTAAGGTATAATAAGACGTATGTCAATCATTATACTTATAAAGTGTTTCTCAACTGTGCAACTGGATTTCATGTGCAGTTTAGTTGCTTTAGGATGTCTGGAGTGGTTTATTTAGACTCTTGTCATATAATTAAATGGAAAAAGTGTACTATAATTCAAATTATACTTAATTGTATTATATTAATTATTAAATGGGGTGAACATCATGATATTGGTGATCATTCTCCCTATCTAATAATTCTTTTTTTACAATTTGATGAATCCAAACTATAAAATAAGATTTCTTAATTAAATTTATAATTATATATGTAAGGTTTGAAATACCAACTGTACTTTTTTTAAAAATAATTTTTTCAATTTGGCTGAACAAAAAAAGTATCAAAATGTTAACAACCAAAAACACTACATTAATTACCATGCTGATTCCCCGTCTCCATTATATGTAGAAATTTATTTATATATAAATTTTATATATTATATTTATATAAAATTTCAACTATTTATTTTTTTATTTTTAATAGTAATGAATGGTTGAGATTTATTTATATTTATTAAAAATAATTATTTTTTTACTTAAAAAGTCTTGATAAATTTTAACTACTGAAAGTGAAAAAATGAATTATTAAAATTTTATATAAGTATGATGTATAAGATTTGTATATAAATGGATCCCTCCTCTACATAAACTCTCTCTCCATTCATTTTCAATAAATTTAATTTGACTTTTTGTCTTTTCATATATGAATTTTAAACGAAAATTTAATAATTTATGTGAACAACAATTGAAAAATTTTTTCTTCCTATATGAAGCTCTTGTTAAGTACTTTGATCTGATAAAAATAAATTTTAGTTATCATTTATATAATATATTAAATTTTCATATGAAATTCATGTTTGAAAAGTTAAAAAATCAAATTAAATCTATTTAAAATGAAAAAAAAAAACAAAGTTTTTATCAACAAAATAAAATTTTATTATAAATAAAATACAAACAGTACTCTTTACCCATATTTAAATACATTGTACACTGTGTATCAATACCAGCCACACCTACATTCCAATTGTTTCAACCATAATCAAACCACATCATAAAAA